TTTAGATTTTTGTCCCCCGTCCGCTGCATAACAATTGCTGGTGGCGCTGTTGCCGCCGGCGATTCTGCGCTTGAGCCGATTTTTGGATCCATCCCCTGGTTCACTATTTGTTCGTCCGTTAGTCGCAATGGGTGCCGCCTCTTCTTTACATTTTTATGCAGTATCAGTTCAAACTCGCCAGTTTTTCTCTACCGGATGCGGCATCAATTGGGCGTCTGGATCTTTTTCTTTTAAAGAAACAGATTTGGAGCGGATTACATTTCACCAGTTTATGTTCCTTAAAGACGGCTTGTTAATCAGATTGCTGAGACCAGTATTAGCTTCCCTCCCGCTGTGAGCTTGGAATGGTGCTAGCTTTAGCGTGGCGTTGTGAGAAAATCTTAAGGCGCCGAGGGCTCTCTCGAGCATTCGCTCCAAGGGTTCCGTTTTTTTTTCTCGCGCATACGTGAGTAATGAATACTTGAGGCTGCCGACGGTTCGTTCGACGCATCCTGTTGCTCTATGATCATTAACTGGCGAGACGACTAAATCAATCTCTTCTTGTTGACAGAAACTCCCTACGTTTTCGGACATGAAGTTCGTTCCTTGGTCAACCCGAGTTTGTCGCGGAACACCATGCGCCGCGATATACGTTCGTAACAATTTTGAAATTTTATCCGACCTATTTAAGTTACAGACCATGGCCGACGGCTATCTAGAAAAACGGTCCACAGCCACCAGAACATACTTCTTAGTTTCATTTATGTAGCTGATTGGTTCTTAGAAATCTAGTTGAACCGACTCTTTCGGTTCTTTGGGTTTCTGATGTCCTTGGGATCATCCCCTTTAGGACACATGTATTTCAAATTCTTACCGGCTAGTGTGCATCATCGGCATTTTTCTGCGATTGACGCTGAGCTGCGATATATTTACAGGTACCAGATGTCTTTTGCCGCGTCGTACATATTAGATTTCCCGTGGTGGAAAAATTGCAGTCGATTGTTTACCGCCATGTGTAGAGAGTTCGGGATTACGTGTTGGTCTTCCATCCACAGGCATCCGTCTCTAACATGAAAGTCCTGAGTGCATTGAGCGTAATATTTGCTCATTGCTGTAATTTTACTCTTTAATTCTGGGTCTTTGCATTTAATCATTTCAATACTGGCTTGTAATTAAGGGTCTGCGGGATACTGAGATTCAACGAAACGAAGATTGAATAGTTCAGGAAGGGCGGTTTGTTTATTTACAATTTTACAGTTCCGAAGAATGTTTGGCATTAACCACTTTTCAGGATTAACTGGCGGATAAACTTCACCTGGATAAACCGATGGAATTGATATAATGGTGTTACTTTTAGTGCTCCTGACTTCTGTGGTAAATGCTTGGTAAATTCTGATTATTTCTTCGATTTCGTCGCTGCTAATGCTTGGATACTGTTCAAGTAATTTTTGTAATTTCTGTTCCATTTTAAAGATTGAGTTTTTGAAGTTTCTCTGAGATTTATTATGACCAAATTTATTTTAAAAGCTGCTCAACTAATTTTGCATATGATTCAGTTGACCTGCCGGATATGCACCTTGTCGCATTGTGATTGGTGTGATTTTCTTCGCATGTTATTCAGCCCTCTAGCGACTGTTTTCTATTCGATATATTACATACGCGTTGTTCATTGGCCGGTGGCGACTCAAGTTTTCCTTTGGAGAGAAATGTCTTCTGAAATCCGAGTGCGCCGCGGATTGAGTTAATTTTCGCGACCGTAAACATACTATCATATGTGCTAACTGGTTTAGCGTCCGAACTTGGATTTCTTGATAGATTGTCCGCGAGACCAATTTTAGATCCGCGTTTATGTTCGATTTGGAAATCAAAAGGTATGAGACGATCCAAGCAACGTGTTAATCTGCTAAACATGGTCTCTATTTTTTGTTGTTCCCATTTAGCAGTGAGATCAATGCTTTATAGTCCATAACGATTTAAAAATTTCTTCTCAGTCTGTAGTTTTGGAAATTTTTGACCCCACACGACTGCAAGCTTTTCCAATTTGTTGAGCGAATATTTCTTTTCGGGGTAATTTAAGTATCGAGACGCGAAGGATATTGGCCACCATCCGTCGGATTTTAGTTGCTCGATTACCGCGCTGAGCCCGTTATGACTCGCGTCACACTCTTCTTGTATCGCGGTGCATGTGGAATTGCCGTAGTTGCACAATATTTGCTACTTGCTTCATCAATTTATTAGACGATGTTTGACTCTCGTGTGTCCAGATATATTCTTTTTTGCGACCTAAAAGATGGCGTAACGGAGCCGAAAATTCCGCAAGCGCTGGGAGGTACTTGTGCAGGCTGCGAATCGAAACCATAAAAGACGCAAGCTGTGAGGCCGTTCTAGGGGGCTTTAGAGTTTCAATCTGTTCCGTTTCCCGGATAAGCGGGGTTACGCCGGTGGGTGTGATTTTTTGCCCAAACCATTCACACTCCTTCTGAGCAAACTTCCACTTTTTGAGTTTTATTGACATATTTTTACTGTTTAATTTGCGTGAAATTTTCTCGACCGCTGAGATATGTTCAATTTCGCTGCCTTTGGTGACAACAAAGATATCATCGATGAAGGCGTGTGCCTGTAGAAATTCGGATAAGATTGCTTCCATTACTCTTTGAAACTCCGCCGGCTTTGTCGTGAGTCCGTAAAACCCTGTCTTGAAGCGATACGTTCCTGTTTACTTCCCCCCTAACGAAAAATTACATTGCACGCTAGTTTCCGGATTAAGTGGCGGCTGACCGTATGCGTATGTGAGATCCATTGTAGAAAAATAAACCTCCCCCGTTTTTCGTTCAGTTATAGGCTGTCCTACCTTATCCATGAGTTCTTCGATGTTTGCACTTGATATTTATTTTTGTGGTTGTGTTTGTTTAACTCCCTCCATTCTAATGCTAGTTTTATGGACCCATCTTTCTTCACCGTTGTTACAATTGGAGAAATAAAGTACTTATCCGAGCATTCTTCAAGTTTTTCGGCATGACCTTGTTACAAAAGCTTACTAATTTCTTGATCAATTTTCTCTTGCAGTGTTATTGGGGCCCTCCACCTTTTCTGTTGGACCGGTATTAATTTTTCGAAAAATTCAGCTTGTGTTTTGTAGTTTTTTGAGTTTTACCGACTCGGCAAAAAAGGTTGTTAAATTGCTTACTGAAATAGAGGTGCCATTGATCCAGTGGTGGCTCCGCGCTAGACGTCTCAGCCTCCTGCTTTTTTCCCTGGCTGGATATCACTTTCTTCCCCGGTGTCTTCTGGATTAACTGCAACCCCAGGCTAGATATCAAGTCCCTTCCAGTGATAGACGGTCTGCTGTCTCCTATCATATCACCTTGATCTTTGATTCGACGACCCATCCGTTCGTTTCCAGTAGAACTGTTATTTTCCGTAGTAATTGTAGTAGATTTTTCCCGTAGTCCCCGAACTCATTGTCCCCTGGTTTCAGCTCATTTAATTTTACACCTACGGTGCCTAATGTTCTTCTTAATTCTTCAATTTTAAATATTGAGACGGGCAATCCGCTGTCTATCCTCACTCTTGTCTGTTTCCCATTGATCTTTATCGGCAATTTCGCGGCCGCAACTTTTAGTTCAGTCTCCTTCCTTGCGTGAATGGCCATGACAACATAGTCACCCCCCTCGAACTGCATGAGTCTCATGAACGTGGCCTCACCTCAGGCGTGTTGATCCATCCGACAGAACTTTTGTGCTGTGAATGGATATCCTCCACGTCTCCGGATTCACTTATGTCCAGATCTTCCTGACCTTGGATTAACCCCACTGCGGGCCGTCCTCGGTTATTACTTTTCCCCGGCATGTTTTCTCATAAAGACCTGTCTTACGGTAAGAGTTGCAGGTTGCTCTCCTACCGGATATCTTGCCATGTGTTCTGGGGTAAAGTTAGATTGTTCGCAATTGTAGCATCTCCTGTCTCCTTGTGGTGCCCCGGTCGTCCTCTGTAGGATCCACGTCCGCGTTGCCTACTATTCAGATATCCGCCTCGGATTGCCCCCACCGGTTCGCTTTTGATTTGGAAAGCTCCACCGGTCGTGCTGCTCGGTGTCGTTCCCCCTGTTGTTGACACGTAGGTCGTCGGGTATTTGTCTCCACGCTCGTAGGACAATGATATAAGATACACCTCCTCTGGTGTTTTTGTTGACCGGCACAGTTCATTTTGGCCCTCCTTGTTGTTCATGTTTACGATGAATACGCCTCGTAAGATCCTGGTCTCCAACGTTCCGAAATTGCAACGTGCTGTCATTCCACTCAAGACGAATGGAACTGTTCCATTGATTTTCCAATGTATTGCTTCCTTGCCAACAGCTGAAAGGTCTCATAAGTATCGTTGTGTTCTTTCTTGAACTCCGTTTCCAGAGCATCGATGACTCTCCTCGCCCGCTACTCTGAAATTACCATGAACAGCTTTTAAAATTTTCATGTCTAGACATGTCTTTTCTGCATGTGAAATGAATAAAACATCAGGCATTCTTCCTCAAAACAATTTCGTGAGAAATAGTTGGAGCTGACAGATTTAAAAACCCGTCTGTCGTTTTAAAAAAAATTGCATGCATTATTTTTCTGTTTTTTATGAATCAAGCCTGTCTGTTCCAATTTTTTTTTGCATTTCAATACCATGCTTAAATATACAGCAAAATAAATTATGCTACGATGTTCTCGCGAACGAGTTTCAAAAGTGTTTTTGAAAAACTTTTTATAGGTTTTTTTAAACATCGATCAAATTGAACTTCGGATCTTTCTTAAAACACTATACATAATATATAATGCAAGTTTATCGAGGGCGCTTTTAAAAAACCAATAGTTGTTTCTTTTTCTTAATTTTTGGCTCCATTGTAGCTTGTTAGTTCGCAGCAAAACATTTTGTGCAACTACAAAAAATTTCAATATTTTTAAACTTTAACCGAGGGGTTCAACTGAACTTGGAGCTGGACTAAGAAAATACCTTATTTCATTTTTATGTGCCTGTTTCAGAAGACGTAGACGAAAAGAGTTCTTCCGAAAACGAAGAAAAAATGAACAACCTTGACCAGAAAAAAACACCATCAGACGAAAAACCCTTGAAACTACACAGACTTTTTCTAAATATTGATGTAATTCTGGGCAGCGCGCCTTTTATTGCAATCTCAATCACTATTGGGTTGCAGCGGGTCTTTTTAAACCCAATCCTTCTGAACATCTGCCAAATTCCAGAAGAGAACATGCAGTTTTACTTCATGATTATACCTGCAGCAGCTATAGGCGCTTCTTTCCTTGCTGGGCCGCTAGTTAATATCGGTTATGTTTGGAGTTTCTACGTTACAAGTTCAATTATCGGCACGATCGGCTGTTGTTTCATGTGTGTTGTGGTGTTTTGTGAGTTGAGTCATCTAGCTAATCAAATTCTGATGGCACTATCTTTGGTATTTTTAGGCTATTGTACAGCAGCAGCGTGGATCTCGGAAATGATAGTTCTTGACAACATGTTTGCCTTTTATAGCCCAATGGATAAGGATAAAATGTATCGAATTGTATTATCAGTATGGAACACCAGCATTTGCTTCAAAGGGGGCAAATGTTTGGGATCTGCATTCATTGGCGGAATTTTATTTGACCACGGGGGTTATGGTTCAGTTGTAATAGTACATACTATTATTTACGTTTCAATGTTTCTTGGATCTGTAAGAACGTTTTTTAAGTTTAGAAACTCATTTTGAGCCCTATACCAGACAAAAAAATGATCACTGTCAAATTAACAATTGATATTAACAAATAAATTAACAAATAATTAACAAATAATTGATAATAAAATTTAGTCGGATATTTTTTTCAGATATTTTCACGGCTGTTCCAAATAATTTTCAAATGATTGTTTTCAATTAATTGTTCCCATATTCAAAGGGGAGTTCTCAAATTCGTGGATCAGGACTCGACCCAGACTTAAACTTGATGTATATTTATATCGGCTCAACCAAAAACTTCTATAGTTCGACTAAAGTTGACAAACCCAAAAATGTTTCGGCCAAGGTCGATGATAAAAGCTTCAGTTCGACTATTTCAATTAAACTCGGTTCAGTTTTGAGCTACTAGACCAAGACTATATATATTTCAAACAAGCTAGACCAAGCAAATACAAGAAAATGAAAAATATAAATACCTTTGAAATCATATTTTGTGACAAAAATGCTTGACAGAACAAAAAACATATTAGTAGCTGGAATGGGAAATGGGAACGCGTTGTGGCGATATGTTTTTTTCCTCCAGTAGATCAAGTAGAAAAAAATACAGCGTGGTGTTTACTTTTTTGTGCAAAAATTGTCAATAAATATTTGGTGCAAAATTTTTTGATAAATATTCCATCATTTTCTGCGGAAAACCTAAGGTTTTTCAACGATTTTGTAATTGTACGCGGAGAAACCATATTTATCGAATTATATCAACTTTTCTTTGGATTCATTTCGTTTTTGTTTCGAATTTCAGCTCGACTAGAGGCTCGCCGCGAATAGTGGTTTTTAATCGAGCTTCGAGCCTGTGACACCTAGTTAAATATAAGACACTTCGGTCGTAACAAAAAGTCAAAAACTCGACACGCAAGGCAACTGCAATCAAACGCCATTGAAAAACTCCTACCGTGTATTTGTGTTTTTCAACTCAGTTTCCATGACGACAACTCGAATGATATATCACTTAATGCAATAATTAGCCGACTAGATTGAGTTTGAAAATTCTGCTCAAAAATTTCCAAAAGACCTCCCATTTTGCAATCACAGTAGATCTTGCTTCTGTTCTTTAGTCTTCTAGCTTCTTTATCAAACCTACAGAATATACAGCGCTGATTTAAACTATTTAAACAGGGCATTAAACAAAAAATTACAACGCGTTTTTCTCAAATTGGGTCGAGTTTAAGTAAAAAAAATAATGATGACAAAACTTGCTTAGAATTTCAGCAGTATTAAAATGATGCAATTCGTTTTGCGGAATTCAGGCCCCGAACTTTATCCCAAAAATGGATCACTTTTTAGCTATTTTAGACAATCAAAAATTACGCCTTAACTACTTGGTCGGTCACAGAAAATTATTATATCAAAATGAGACTCTTACGTAGCCCAACAAGTTTTGAGAAATTTGGTATATTCTCCAAAAATTTCTATATATTTATTTAATTTTGATTCAAAGACAATAGATTTCATTTTTAATATATAAAACAACAATTTTTGAATTAAAAACAATTTAAACAACTTGCGCATTGTTCATGAAAAGTATATCCTTCTTAAAGTTTGTTGGGCTGCGTAAGAGGCTATATTTGATATAATTTGGCGTAATTTCTGATTGACTAAGAATGTTAAAAATGATCCATTTTTGGGGTAACACTTCGAGCCCGAATTGCGCAAAACATAATGCACCATAACAAATCTGCTGATAATCCGAGCAAGTTTTGTGTTTACTTTAAGTCAAGGCAAATTAAGCAGAAACGCGATTTAAAATTCTAGTTTAAAGCGCTTTGTCCGAATAAATTAAATCAGCACTGCCTAACAGCACAATTTAACAAAAAATTTATTTGAAAAACAAATACAAAAGAATCATGATTCATCTCATTAGTTCCTGTTCCAAGCGGACATCTGTGCTTCATAATCTGAAAATTACAATTCAATATAAGTAAAATTAGTAGCACCAATGAGACTATTGGAAGAAAAAAAAGATTAGGTGATTTCTTGATAAAAAAAAACTTTACTAAATATTTTAAGAATAAAAGTACCCAGGAGACTATTGAAGTATCAAATATTGTAAAATTTTTGTAGTATGAAATTACGAGACTAAAAACAGATGAAAGGATTAATGTTCCGACCATTTAAAAAAAGTGAAGGAATTTTGTATTTGGTTGTGTTTTAGTTTTTTTCTTTTTTTCCGTGCCAAATCAGCTATCAAATATAATCATCGGAATAGGCCAAAGGATATATCATATTGAAACCTTTCAGTTGTAAATCGAACGGCAATAAAGTTTTTTGAAAAACTCTTCTCCAGGCCGAAAACAAACTGGCTTGAATTTTTGGAGTTTTGTCTATTTCGGGCTAATAAGGTGAGACTGCAGGCTTCGAGTAGCTTATTTACGGTAATATAGAGCCGTGAAAACCTAAATTTATTCAGCATAGTTAGTTTTTGGAATTTGTAGCATAAAAAAAGGAAGTAGTTAGATATGCAAGTCAGAGAAAGTCTTTTTTTGAACAACTCGAATGGTAACTTTATCCAAAATCTTAGCATTCGATTATCGACAAAACATTGTAGTAACATCATATAATCATCATAATACGATATTCCTGTATCAACATACAAGTCAGCTAAGTTAACTTGGTTGGTCAAATTAGAAATCTTAGACAAGCTTCAAGGTTCATAAACACTTAAATGTTGGTTAAAAATATGAAAGTACAATATAAAATTAGATGAGTTAAAATTAGCTGTCAATTAGAACTTGGACTGAAAATGAAATAAAAATCGAGGCAAAAAAAATATCCTCATTCGAATAATTCAAAAAGTACAATACCAAAGATATGCGCAAAAATTATCAAGTGCAATCAGTTTTTGTAAAAAAAACAATAGCTAAGAAAAGGAAAGCATTTTATCAAGAAAATCAAGTTCGAAGCAAATCAAAAGAAAAAAGAAATCTTCATATTTATCACGAAAATTTTTTTGAAAAACTAAAGACATTTCAACAGAAAACATTAATGTAAAGCGGTGGAAAGTCATTTATTTAAGCTAATATAATGAAGTGAAAATTTGAGTTTACTCAGCATAGTTTGTTTTGGAATTTGTAGCATAGAAAAAAAGAAGGTGGCGTAGATATATAAATCAGAAAAAGTACCTTTTTTGAACCGCTCGAATGGTAACATTATACAAAATTTTTGCATTCGATTATCGACAAAACATTGTAGTAACCTCATATCATCACAATACATCATTCCCGTATTAGTTTACCTTCCAGATTGGTTAACTTATACAAATTTGAAATCTTATACAAGATATAAGCTTCATAAACACTTGGATGTTGGTTAAAAAGATGAAAGTAACCTTTAAAACTAGATGAGCTAAAATTAGATGCCGGTTAGAACTTGGACTGAAATTGAAATAAAAATCGAGGCAAAAAAATATCGTTAATCAAATTATTCAAAAGGTATATTACTTAAGAAATTGCGCAAAAATTATCAAAAGAAATCAATTTTTGTGAAAAAATGATAGCTAAGAAAAAGAAAGCATTTTATCAAGAAAAATCGAGCTGGAAGCAAGTAAAAACAAAAAAGAATTCTTCAAAATGTTTCAAGAATTTTTTTTTTTGAGAAACTAAAGACATTTCAACAGAAAACGTTAAAGTAAACATGCTAAAATTCAACAAAAACCTTGCTGCAAAAAATTGCCTGCCATGCTAAAAAGTATTTCACGATCAAGAGAAAATCAAATGCAAACGAACTAGAAAGTTGAGAACATAATGAAGCCTAGATCCGTATGACCGTATGACATCAACTACTATTTTCTAAAATAAAATTCAGCCTGTACGTTCTAAATTGTACACCGCGCTTTTTTGACATATTTTGATTTGCCAAATTTTTCTGGAAATCCGAAAAGTTGACTTTCCCAAAAATTTTAACAAACACAAAGATGGTAGCAAAATACCGTGCTAAGCTTAGACCAATTCTTTCATTGCTAGTCTTCAGCAAATTTTCTGAGAAACAATTTTTTTAAATATGTTGAACAATTTTTTTCACAAGTGTAATGTATTCAGTCGAAATAAAGTTGAAGTTAGAAGAACACCTGTTACTAGAGATGCTAGTAGAACGCTGATTGAAAAATTTGGGTTTAATTAGAATGATCAAGACATTTCAACCCAGGGCTTTATCCTAGACCCGATAGAAGCTTTGGTGCGGACGACCCCGGTATTTTGCTGGATTAAAGCAAGTGATATGGACTTCGGAGGCCCATTTTTCTTTTATTAGAGTAGTTTTAAGCAAACAAAAAACAAGATGTATACATCTCAAGATTTAAATCAGAAGTTGAAGAATTACTTTTTGGTGTCTCATCATTATTGGGAACATTTCTGTTCATATTACGTATTAAAGATATCAAAAACAGCGATATACCTTAAAAAATGCGGATAAATACATTCATAAAAAAAAGATTTTTCTTTTAAAAGTTTAAAAATACATCACCAAGAAATCATTAAATCAGCAAAAACAAACACAGAGAAAAAGTAAATATACGTTTTCTGCAAAAAGTCACCTGCCGAATTTCTACAAATACCACATCAATGGAAAATTTTTCAAATACCTATTTAGATAAAAAAACAGCGATTGAACAACAGAAACATTTTTAGAAAAACTGAAGCCAAAACTCTGGGCCTACTGAAAAAAGTTTGACAAAAAATTCAGTTTTTTTTGTCATAAGAAACGTTTTTTTAGCCAACTTCAAGAATTGGAGCCTTCGTTTACGCATCAACTGATAAAATGAATGATAAATATAGAAAAAGAAACAAATCAAGATTTAAACAACTTCAACTCTCAATTTTTCGATAACTTTACTAAGCTAATCGTGACCTGATAACCTAAGTGTTTTTTTTAGTTAAAGTATTGTATGCTGCAATTGCTTTCTTATTTAAACTCTATTTTTCTAATAGGTGAAATTTTTTCCACTTCTATTTTTTGTGAGCAAGTTGGACTGGAATGTCTTACCAAGTTTTGTTCCCTATTTACAAGGTACTCATAAAACGTGTTCGTGATTCTTGCTCTGAAACTCCTGAAAACAGGCTAAAAACAACCTAAGTGAA